AATCCTTTTGAGTATTGAAATAGGCTAAAAATATAAAATAGTGCTCAATTCCATTCCTAAATCACACAATTTAGTGAATCTTCACTTTAGTGACATTTACGTCATAATGCAATTTTCTCAGCATAAAATCAAGTTAAGCACCTTTTAATAAAAAAATTGCTTTCCTTAATCCTCAAAGAAAAGCAAGTTTTTTATTAAAAGGTGCTCAACTTGATTTTATGCTGTGAAAATTACATTATCTAGTATGATTTATTAAAAAAATTGTTTTTCTTAATCCTCAAAACTAAATCATAACATCATAGTGTGAATCCTAAATAATACTTTTCTTCAGAGAAATAAATAAGTGACATACACTTTAAAAAATAAATCATATTGCAGAATTCTAAGATGAATATTATCTAGTAAAATTATTTTTCTCTCTACCGACATGGAGTTTTCCTTTTAAACCAATTTTGTATGAAAGTAAACACACAATAGTAACACATGCATTTCCACAAACCTCATATCACTCTGTTAAGTAAGCATGATAAATATAGCTATGCATGTCTCATTGAGTCTATAACTCTCAATTCCCTTAGGATCTCCTATTGAAATTTTGCAGGTAGATCATACTCACAAAGACACACAATAACACTGAAGTATGTAATAAAAAAATACAACATTATCTTCTTCATATTACCGCTCCAAAATAGCTAAAAATACCCATTCTGCATAGAGTCTTTTTCGGTGTTTCAATATTCCAATAATTCTTAAGTATGAGTGTATTACTTGACTACAAAAGTCATTAGCTTTCTTATATCTCATTCTCAAGCTCGATTTAGACTTGGTAAAAATAAAAAGATAACTAATAACATTAAGTATCAATAGCTCTGATACCAATAAAAGAAAGACTAATGCGATCTTGCCGGGGAAAATATATTTTTTTATTTTTCTTGTTTTCACCCCGTTTATTTTCTTTTGACAAATATCACTTACAAGTAGTCTTATTACATTAATTATTGCCTCAAAGAAAATAAAACTAATAAATCCAAGATCTTAAAAACCTTGATGTCATTAAACCAATGTTCTTTAAACAAAGAAAATATCAATAAGTCTTATGCTTGAAAATATAAAGACAATATAATTAAATATCACAAAAAATGAAAAGAGAGAGTCGGTGATTACCTCAACCGGGCTTATTACACCCCACACCGAGTTACCACCATCCGATGATGCGAGATCAAATATCAACCTTCAATCTCAACCGAGAAAGCAAGTTTAGGCCAAGCCACACCAATAGAGCATGAACCCCTTTGATAACAAACTCAAACCAACAACCTAATTTGAGAGAAATGGATTCTCTTTTTTCTATACTTTAAAACCTTTAGTCATAAATTCACTGTTGAGAGATGGGAGAGAGAAGAACCACATAACCTCTTTTTACAATGTAGGAGAGAGAGAGAGATCAAAGATGAGAAAGTGGGGCATGCCTCCTTTGGCCTTTCATAAGAGTGAGAAACTTTCTTATGAGAGAGATTAAAAGATAAAATGTAGAGATTTTGGGTAGAGATAATCTTTGTTTTATAGGCTTTGAAAAAAATAAGGTTTTTTAGGGTTTTCCTTGACTTGCCACTTGTTGTGAAATTGAATATGATCTTGGGTGATTTGTGGGGTGAGTGTTTTGAATCATCCATTCCATAGAAGGGCCATCAACATTATAGAAGGGGTTAGAACCTTTATCCCCATTTTTAAAACTATTTTCCCATCAATAAAAATTAAATAAAATAAATCCAAATATAATATTATCCATATTAAAATAATACACTAGCCTTCTCATGCTTTCCAAAAATTCATTCACAGCTTCCTCAAATCAATACCTTTCTAAAACACATAACAATCTTGGCCTGTGAACCAAAATCACTTATCACAAAAATATAAAGCTAAATGGGTGGAGCGTGCCACCCATGAAAGGATCTCATGGGCCCCACCATCTAAGCTATGGTGAGCCAATATGCACAATGAGCCCCCATGCAATTTTAAATATTTTTAAAACTCAATAAAATAATTTTAGGGATTTATTTGAATATTTAAATCAATTTAAAATCAATATATCTAATTTTATAAATTTAAATTTGATAAATAAAATATCCAGAGATTTAAAAAAATTCAAATAAATATTCTAAAATCATATATATCATAAAACAAATATAATTAAATTCATTAGATGGGAAATAATCCATATTGTTTAAAAATTAAATCATTCAAATATTGGAGCACTCCACCTTCTACTGTGGATTACGGACCACTCATATTTTATCAAACTGACCCAGTGTTTCCCATGATAATATAATTCCCTTTAACAATGAGAGAGAAAGCTGTTAGGACCCATTTAGATAAGAGGAATTTGGAATTTCGTATATTTGAAATATAAGAAAATCATTGATTTTCAATATCAAGGATTCTTGTCATGGATTCCTCATATTTGTTTTCAAAGTTGTGGGGAATCCCAAATTTGGTAACAAAATTTGGAGTCTCTCACTCAAATTTGGTAACAAAATTTGATATATCTTCTCTCTATATCAAATATGGTTAACAAAATTTGGTAACAAAATTTCGTAACAAATTTGGTAAACAATTTGCTAACAAAATTCGATAAATTTTCTCTCTATATCTTCTCTCTATATCAAATTTGGCAACAAAATTTGGTATATCTGCACTTTCTAAAACTCAAAATTTGGGAGAATCTCTCTCACTCTAAGATTTTTGGGATTGTTTTTCGCTCAAAAATTTGATGTGTTATTTTCTCTAAAATTTGATATAGTTTCTCTCTCTAAAATTTTGTGATATTTTCTCCCAAAAGTTTCAAATTTGAAGTACTTTCCCTCTATAAAAAACTTGAGATAGTTTGTCACGCTAAAAAATTTCAAATAGTTTCTCTCTAAAATATGATCTAGTTTCTCTCACTAAAATTTAAAGTACTTTGTCCATCTAAAACTTAAAATTTGAGGTAATTTGTTTCTAAAACTTTTGAGATAGTTTAACTCTCTAAAACATTTTAAATAGTTTCGCACTAGAAAATTTTATTGTAGTTACTCTCTCTATAATTTTTAGATGTTTTATATCTCTAAATCTTAAATTTCGAAACAGTTTATCTCTAAAATTTTTAAGTAGTTTCTTTCTTTAAAATTTTAATTCGTTTTCTCTCTCTAAAATTTCAAAGTTGAGAGTTTTTCTATCTAAATTTTTTTAAATAATTTCTCTCTAAATTTTTCAGGTCGTTCTTTATCTAAAAAATTATATTGTTTCTCTCTCTTAAAATATTAGATATTTTCTCTCTATAAAACTTAAAATTTGAAATTTTTTCTCTAAAAAATTCAAGTAGTTGCTCTTTAAAAAATTTGATACAGTTATTCCTACAATTTAAATATACTACCATAAAACTTTAAATTTGAGATTATCTTTCTTTAAAAAATAGTTTCTCTTTCTAAAAAACTTCATGTACTTTCTCTCTCTAAAATTCTCTCTAAAATTTGGTATAATTTCTCTCTCAATTTTCTAACTTTTTTATTCTTTAACAGATGGATGACGTTCTTAGCACCACTTTGGTTTTGTTTTTTATTCACAGATGAAATGTTTTCAATCCCTAGGGTTTGAGCAACGTATGGGCCTCAACGAATTATTTAATCAAACTTGCACCAGGACTGGGTTCGTGAGAAAATGGATCGTTTTTATGAAATGTCAATTCTACTAACTTTGATGGAATGGAGATTTCTAAAATTTCGACTTAAAAATGTATTAAGGCATCTCATAAAAATCTCAATTCCAACTTAATGTCGGCAAACCAAATATTGGCCGGCATTTTCCAGTAAAAATGAGTTATGAAAGTCAGAATCCAAAGACCCAAACGGGCCCTAAGATGTTTGTTTACTTGAAGATGTGAGTTTCATGCCACCTCAACTCATGCTGTCGGCCTTCTAACATTCAATACCACACTGTCCACTTCTAATGTAAAGGTCCCCTGTTAACAAAATAAGGGAATGATAAAATACCAGAAGCCGTGGTATCCAAAAGCCGCATCTTCTCATTACCAAACGTGCCCTTGATTAAAGGAAAATTGTTTAGTGAGTCAGCCAACTTATATTATTTTTGTGCGATCTCCTTATGAAATATATCACAAAGACATTTTTATCAAACATTTAAAGTTCGACAATCTCAATCGCGGCAATGATTTAAATTTGAAAATTCTTATTTCCAATATAAAAACCATATTTCTGGGCACTATTTGAAGGTGAGCTCTAATTTTTGAAGGTAGGGTCTATTTTAATTGTTAGAGCCTCGGCTCTATACAAAACCGTACCCTTCAGGGGAACATACTAATATGGACAATAACTAAAAACAAAACCGCACAGAAATAGATGCGACGGCTGTCTCACGAAAACGGTGTCCAATGCTCGAAGGCTTGTTTTAGAGGGGCTATGAAGTTTACAAACTCTTCTTGTTGGGGGTTGAACAAGTAGTCGGTAGAGAACGATGAGTCAGCATCTTAACATAAGAGCATGGAGATGTACTTGTGTGGTGCCTCTTCTCAAGGCCCGGCTTTGCATTAGAAAATAGTCATTTATAAATACACGCATTGGTGTATGGAGTATCAGTTATGTACACAAAGGAATAGTATATGAATGCATGCGTGTGTGGATATGGCTGCGCGGGTCGAATTCGGAAGGGTGTCATCGCTGACACTAGCAACGGAGAGAGGAACAGATTAGAGAGAGAGAAAACATATTTTAGAGAGAGAAAGAGTGGTACAGCAGGTAAGGGTAGAGAAGAGGCTTAGCTAACCCCCTAAAAATAGGATGTACCCTCTGAATCGAGGTGTGTTTTCATGAAGAATGATGGGTGAGAAATCATGGGCTATTAATTATTTCACACTCCCCACGCCTTTTCGAGGTTAGTTTGGCCACCACAACGTTTTACCCGTTTGCCAATACTTTCTCTCTCTACAAAAAGTTCCAAAACAAACCTTTTGGCAAAAATCTCGTTCGATTCCGATGAAGTTCTAAGCAAATCACAACATCAAATCAGACATATAACTGATTTCATAGATACATGATCATGCATTAGATACCATTAGTAAGGTGAACGAGTGATTTGGAGTTGGGATATCAAAATAAGTGCGCACGAGTTGGAGAGAAGGTTTCTGTAACTCGTCCATATGGCAGAAAAAATACTGTGGCGTTCTTTCTCTCTCTTCTTCGATTTCCTACTGTCGCGTTACCGAGCAATCTCCGCCTGCAACAAGGAATTATACTCCACCTGCTCCACTTCCCATCTCGCCTTAGGAACCACTCCGTTGTGCACTGGTACATAATCCTGCCAATTTTAGAACCTGGGTTATAGTTTTATGGCTGTTTTTTGCCTTGCACATCAAAACCAATATGTTCGTGTGTAACCCATTAATAAAAACTGTTCGAAAAATAAAAATTCAAGCAACCTCAAGCTTTTGAACCAGCTCCTTGGCGCTCGGTGCCGAAACAAATATATGGCGCTGACATGGCTTAATGAATCCATCGTCTACAGCCTTGTCTATGAAGCTGAGAAGAGAGTTGTAGTAGCCGTCCACATTCAAAAGACCCACCTGTCAAACAAACCCCATTCTCTTACTCACTCTGAAACTTTTCCATCAAGAAAACCCATTTTCTCACTCTAAAAACATTGTCATCGCATTTCACATTGACGAAAACCTATTATATCTCTCTAGGTTCATGTTTTTTAACCGAAATGAACCCAGTATTTCACTCTAAATTCTCAATTCTTGATCCAATTTCAATATATAATTTTGATTTAGAGCCCTCACCGGCTTATCGTGGATACCGAGCTGAGCCCACGTTATTACTTCCAAAAGCTCTTCCAGGGTACCATATCCCCCTGGAAAGGAAATACCAAGCATTAAATGCAGGCCAAAGAGGGGGAGGTTTTGCCTAAAAAATGGGGCAATGGTAGAGAGAGAAACTAATGAGAAAGGTGAAGTGACAGATACTGGACACTTCCTATATTAGAAGGGAGATTAAGAAAAAGACCTGGTAGAGCGATAAATGCATCGGAATGACGGGCCATCTCTGCCTTCCTTTGATGCATATCCGCCACGACTCTTACGTCCCCCACTGTCTCTCCTGTTATCTGATAAAAAAAAAAAGAGCCGCATCAAATCTAGTGTGAAAAAGACTTTGCTCAATGAGCTATGAAGGATCAGAGGTTTCCACTTTGCATACCTCTTTGCACATGAGAGTCTTGGGTATTATCCTATACGAGAAGATACAACAAACATGGAGTAAAAGCTTCAGAAACATAAGAATACAGGAATACATTTATATTGAGGTAAAATAAATAATTATCAGAGAGCACAAGTACCCTAAAACGTGTCCTCCTCCTCGGTGAACCGCTTGAGAGACAAGCCCCATGAGCCCCACACTTCCTCCTCCATAAACCAAATCCATTTTCCTGGAAACCTAGAGACGGAGAGAGACCTATTAAATAATCAGATCAAGGAAGTTTTTCTAATTATTATGAAAGAAAAGAGAAATGGCATTCAAGCTGGGTGTTTTCTTTTGTACAGGAGCTAAGCACAGATACTGAATTGAGGTTTGGTTTTCTTGTTTTGATGTGCAATAGAGAGAGAGAGAGAGGAGGCAGAGATGGTATTGCAGTTGGTGTGATGCGTAGGAACCGACGAGTTCTTCGGCTAACTCCACAGCGGCGTCGCGGTAACAATTCCTCTTCCCGGTGCTGCTCCCACAAAAAACGCACACCCGCTTGAACCTGGATTTCGCCACCTTTCCTTCCATTCTTTTTCTTCTTTACTGCTTTTGTGTGACCTTTTTGCCTGTTCCCACTTTTTAAATATCACTTTTCCGAAGGAGCAGTATCTCTCTGCCCAGCTCCAAACGCATGTATTTATATCTCTAAATAAGGAGACAAGGGACTTGTGGGTTGGGAGTTGGGAGCTATGGCTATAGAGCGCTAGAAAAAGGGCGACAGAGAGGGAAGATATTCGATTGGAGTGACCACTAGGAGAGAGAGAGAGAGAGAGAGAGAGAGAGCGGATGAGAGAGAAAGGAGAGAGCAGATGAGAGAGAATGGGGAGAGACTAAGATGCGAGGATGTTGCGTAGCGAACAGAGAAAGGAGAGAGTCTGAGATGCGAGGAAGTCGACAAGAAAAGAAAATAAATGCATTATAAAATGGGTGAGGTTGTATAAGGTGCCAACCTTATACTATTGAAGTAATGTGCGCTTCAAAATTATGCCAAAAATACAGTTTCCATGACACAAAACATTGCAATGATATAAAAATCTATTGATACCTATAGTTATAAAATTTAAGGTTCCAAAAATATTGAAGATCAAGCGTATTTATAAATATTTGAAAATATTGAAAATTGACAATTTAGATAATGAGTTAGAAGATAAACTATTTTTAGTATTAAAATCCCTTTTTTCTAAATATCTATAAATTTCGAGGTCGAGAACATCGATTTGAAGGTTTTCAATTACAAAAACAATCTTTCCTAATGGGTTGTTGAAGTAAATTTACCTACGCAGTATACGGTTGAGACCTGACGTAAACTCTATAGCTATGAACAAAGAAGGATAATAAAGAGTTAAAACTTAAAAGGCATTCCTTACAATTCTCTCTCTCCCTCTCCGCCCACCGCCACTGCCTTTCATTCTCGGCTACCACACCTTTAACGTAATCATTAGAGAAGCATCACACGTGCCAAACACCAAGTCTTGAGATGATTCGCAAGAACCCCCTGTAGCCTAGCCTCTAGGGAATGAGCTCGCCCTCGAGACGTCCACAACATCTGACACTCTCTCTCTCTCTCTCTCTTAATCTGTACCAATCTCCTAAGCTTCTCTCCCCCTCTCTCTTAATCCGTACCTATCTCTACCGTCTCTTTGAGCTTCTCTCTCCTCTCTGTGGACGGAATGCCAACCGTCCATCTGAACCACTCAAATATTTGGTTTGCCTTCTAACACTGTGATCCTCACTTTCCATCTCTGCGCATTTCAAAAGCAATCCTTACTGCAAGTAACCTCCTGCAAAATAAGCCTTCCAAGAGAGAACAGGCACTGCATGAACCAAATGGGAAAAATAAATCATAATAACTTTACTTAACAAGCGAGATATTTGTGCACCAAACCACGCGCACACACCCACGTGGCTTCTCAAATTTAACCGAGTGTGTGTTTGTGTGCGACTTCCCTTTTTATTTGAATGAAAAGGAGCTGCAGCTTTTTCTCTCTATCTACGGACGCTTTGTTTGTGTCTTGTTTCGTTTAAACTTTTGCATCTCATTAACCCATAAACAGAAAAGTAAATAATTATATGATCAGTTTACGATCGTAAAGTTGCAGTTGAGGCCTTCTGGCCTTCTCTCTGCTGTCCCATTCCGATCCCCCAAAGCAGCTTTTTGCAATTTCTTTTCTTTTTATTATAACTTCTGATAAAAGAGAAAGAAAGCTCGTTCATGCCTCACCTAGAATAAATTTCATCCCAATCACTATTTTCATGACAAAGCAGTTGCGTTCACACGATATATTTGCCGGAATTTATCGAAAATAAACATTTAAAATATTAAACCAAAATATTTCCTACTTTACCAGGAGGGCATGGCATGAAGGGATGGCAACGCATGGCACCATAAGTCCGTCAAGTCCAACTCACACTGCCACGTCATCTGAGCTCAAGTGGAGCTTGGGCCCACAGACCGGCGCAGACGTCGTACTTGGGGGCAGAGCGTGACGGTTGCTTGCGGCCTTTCCGCACGTTCGCATTTAATAAGCATGGTCTAGTTTCGGTGCACCACCCGTTCGCACGTGCGGAGAGGGTTGTGGCGCGGTGTAAAGTTTAAGCCTCGCTCGCTGCCCTCTCTGCTTCTCTCTCCGTCATCGATCTCTTTGTCGCTCTAGAATTCAAATCATTGGGTGAGCTTTAGTTTGGGCGTGGGAGGAGCGGTGCGAGCTGCGCGCAATCATTTAATGAAAGAATAGGGCCACCCCTCTCTTTTTCATTGCTCTCTCTAAAACGTATCCCATTGCCTTGGCGTGTGCGCACTCATTCTTTTGCGTTTGGCCTTCCGTGCTTTGAAATGTAAAATAAAAGATGTACTAAAAAAAATCCGTCCTAAAATTTTGTTTCTAAGATAATTCTTTAATGGATCCTACCCATATCAAGATACATAAATATGAACACAAAATAATTTTGAGTTTATTTTTAAAAAAATAACAATTTTATGAGATCTTTTCACATCCATATGTGTAGGACTCAAATGATTATCATTAAATTTGATATATATATCTAGATATGTTATCATATAGGTGTAGGGGTTGATTTTTTTAAATATTTGTGTCAAATTTAATGGTCAATATTTGAGGTCCTATACACAGATGCTGAAAGGTTTCATGTGATTATTACTTTTTTAAATAAGATCATTATTTTTTACAAAATATATTACCCACTTGAAAGATTTTTATATATTTATAAATTTATTTTATTTGAACCATTTTTAGGGTTTAAAATTTTTACACCTTGCTTTGTTTGTTTAAGGTTGCTGCCTTACGCAAATCATACCCTGGCTCATCAACTTTATTCGTAAATTAACTGGTGCAAGTGCCTGCTCATACACTAACATCGATCTCTAAGTTGGAGTTGGAAAAAATCCAAGAGGCTAAAATGAATTTAGACTATGTAGATACTTTTTTAAAAAAAAAAACATTTTTAAATATTTATAATTCTATTTTTGTAACCATCTTAACCTCTGAATCCCTACCATTTTAAATTAGATATCCATTTTTAATATAGGTTTAAGTGGGGGCCCATGATTCTCTAACTCATGGAAACCATATCTTGTGTAAATGACGATTTGTACTGAACTATTTATTTATACGGCGGGCGGACGCCAAAATGAAAGGTTGTATCTTTGTTTCTATAATTAGGTCCTCTAATGCCATGTTACTTTTCCTTTCCTATAATTAGGTCTGCTGTAATTTTGTACCTGCCAAAGCAGTCTTAGACTGTAGGCTTAGGTAGTACTTCTTGTCATCTCGATTTCTGGGACCGTTTCCTTTTGCGGCCAACCACTCCATACCTTTCCGCTACCCCAACCCCCCAACTCACTCGCCCACTCCTAACAGTCGAACGCCTACTTTCTCTCTCTCAAGGGTGGCAACCGGCTCGGCTTGGGCCTAACTAGCCTTGGCCTGGCCTCCCATAGTTTTGACCCGACCTTAACAAGCCCTGGCTGACCCAAAAAATAAAATGAAAAATTAGAGGGCCGAGCCAGGCTATACCAAGCTGCTACTGAACCTATCCCGGGCCTCAGACCACAAACTGTGGCACAGGTACAAGTTTTCAGGAGCTGCCCGTCCCATTGTTAGCTCTACTCTCTCCGACGCTATTCTCTCTCCCCATATCACCAACGTTTCCACCTCTACGATAATATAAACAAGTGTTTAAAAAAAAAAAAAAACGTTTATATAAGGTTACAATTTTAACATGTAGAACTATAGATGCACTTCAAAAATTCATCCAAAAAATGTTGTTTTAATGTTGAAAAGACCCTCTAATTGAGCATCTCAACATCGAAAAGGTTGTTTTAATGTTGAAAAACCCTCTAATTGAGCATCTCGACATCGAGATGTATGATTATGAAAGAAAAATACATTTTTGAGTTCCAAAAGTAGTGCATCTTACCTCACATTATCTGGACCGTCTTTTTCAAAATTGTCATATGTTTTTAGATCTACTTGATTTTAATCATTTTTTGAGTTTAAAATTTTATAATTAGATATGAAAATAAATTTTGAGATAATCCTAATAATATTTTGTATTAAAATTATATGTTAAGATCAAATTTGGAGTACGCCTTGATTGGATTGTTTAAAGTTGCAACCTTATAGAAACCGCACTCCTAAAAAAATAGATCGGTGACTCGACTCCGTCGCATCCATATTCGTATTGGATCGGGAGAATCAGTGGGTCAAATCGAAATAATCGGCAGAATCGTTAATTTTGTTCCAAAAGTTTTTGAAAAATAATTAAAAAAAAAAAGAGAAGTTGTTCATCCTTTTTTTTTCATTTGACTCGATGAAGAATTGTCGGAATCCACAGTTCCGCAAAAAAATCGATGCGTCTACTATTCTGAATCGATTGCATCTTGGTTTTTTACTAGATCCGAAAAGATCACGACAATCTATTCTGAATCGACTGAATCTGGGTCGTTTACTGGATCCGAAAAGATCACGACGATTCCCATTCCGAATCGCGTCACCGATTTTTAAATCACTCATATAAACATGTCTCTCGGACTCTCACACCTCTCTGTACGTGTCTCTAGGCCGCTCATGGGTTATTTGCTCACATTAATGGCATGTTTTCTTTTGAAAATGAACGTTGTCGTTGTCTAGCGATCGCCTTTGACAAAAGTAGTGTTCAAATTTCCTAGCCAATATCTGAACAAGGGTGGCAAGGGCCGGCCTTGGCCCGGGCCTGGCCTTTGTCCAATAGGGCCAGGCTTAAAAGAAATGAATAAAAAGTAAAACAAATAACAAGAAAAAGAGAGAACCAGGTCGAACCTAACCAGGTCAGCATTGGCTTTGGCCCAGCAGGCCCTCGGGCCGTAATTTGTAATCCAAGCTTTACTTTTTTAGGGCTGGGCCAACCAGCGGGGCGGTCTGCCCAACCCATTGCCAGCTCAGTCCATGAATATAAGAAAAATAGTATCACAAATTTTTGCTCGTTTGAAAGTTTGACTTGAATAGCCCCTTTCCTTTGTGGAAGTGAGACATGGTGTAACCTTACTTTGTTGGATTATATGGACCGTCTAGACAAAAGTTGGTGTAGCGTCCCTTTTTGTTTAATGGCCTACCACACTTTGAATGGGTGTTCCTCTTGTCCATTTCTGTTTTTGATAAATTCGATCAGTCTTAGCAACCCCAAAAAGTAGGCTCGGTTTAGATTTTTGAAAAAGAGGAATAGCATACAATAAATAGGAGAAATTTGAGGATGGGATATTCTCATCTGCATTTCCCCTGTTTCTTCGTTCCTCACTTTAGCCGCCCCATCCTTGTCCTACATCGCTTTTCTCCACGACGACCGCCACAAAATCAACCCTCCTCTCTCTAAATTATTCTTATCGTTATCACCGACAAATTTTATCAGGATATTCTCAGTTGTACTTTTTTATTTGGGTTTTTTTACAAGAAAGTTCATACAGCTAAAAGCTGTATCATATTTTCCTACCCTTCGTCACGGTCTAAGGTTATTATTGATGTCCATGGTATTCTGATAAATTCAATTCAT